ATTATACCATTTATATGTTTATTAAAAAATATATATATATATATATATGTATATGTATAAAGCAAATTCATTCAAGGATTAGAATACTTACCTACGTTTGGAGACTCCTTCGAATATCTCTGATTTCGGACGGTTACTGTTCATGGTTACTATTCAAGATTACTGTTTCATCGTCTACTGCTCACCATCTACTGTTTATGATATACTGTTCATGGTTACTGTTCACGTGATTTGTCGTCAATCGATCACGGAAGTCCACACGAAGATAATCCGCTGAACCCTTGATTATTTTGCTAAAACAATCAAGGGTTTCAAGAATCAAGAAAGAAGAACAAAAAAAGTTTTCTTTTTGAGAGAGAGAGAGAGAGAGAGAGAGAGATAGGGTGGCCAGGATTTTAATTGAATGAATAATTCTCTCATGTTTTAATTTTAAGTTGCACTTATATAGTGCAACAATTAACACCCTATTCCACTTAGGAATAGTAATGGGCTCCAACCCTAGTTTACCCTTGCAACCAAACACACCCTTTATGATATTTTAATTAATTAATTAATATTATAATTAAAATAAATTAATATTTAATAATATATTAATATTTAATTAATAATAATAATTCATTTTAATATATACAGAAATATATATAAATATAATCTCACTAATTTAATTTTAATATTAAAATTAAATACAGGCAACAACCTCAGCAAATTTAATTGCACTGTAAAATTACCAAAATACCCTTTCGTCCTAAAAGACGAAAATACCCTTCTCACAGATTGATTCTTAAATTATCTTCTAAGTGTGTGACCCGTAGGCTCCTCATCATATCGGTAGTGTGTAGTATCGCGATTAACACCAATTAATCGTCTCACTACACACAGACCAAGATTGGCCCCTAGCAAGGCATTATGGCCACCCGATATATTCGGATTCAGCGAAACCATAGCCTATCAACGGTTTGGTTACCGTGCAATCAAATCATTTCATCAACTGTTATCTCATCGAGACTGAGGTACAAAAATAATGTGAACCTTAGATATCATCGACATGTTTGTATTCAGTTACTAGACCAATGTCAGGAATATTAAATTGGATTGAGCATCAACTCAATCCCACTGTGACCACAGATTTTGTGTCATTGTCATTTACTGAATTCCCTAGTGAGATAACTTCTCCCGTACCCAAGAGTGATTAATCATTTGTCGATCCACCATAGTCTCGATACACTTATCAATGTAGCCAATCACTACCGTATTGATAGCTCTGAATAGAACTATGTTGGGCTAGTGTCAAACTACACCAATTGGTGCATAAGGTGTGCCGGTGATCTCAAGTCTAAGGATCACATGCACCACTATCTGTTAAAGGATTTATTCTATAGACACTGGGGTTACCATCTATATGAAATCCTCTAGTGGGTCTGTCCAGTGAACTTGCCTCTAGCAAGCACCCATGCGTTGTACCAGGTTGTCGGCAAACAACCTTGACAAGTGAGATTAGTCACTACCTTTCGACAATGTCGTTTAACACTATGATAGCCTTATCGTATTATCTGTGTCCTTGGTCAGAATAATATTAGGGCTACGAACCTTTCTAGAATGGCCACCATATGTGATCATAAGGTTCTTACTATCAAGATTTGAAACACTTGATACTCTCGTCAGTGTTCTACCATCCTAAGGACATATATCATTACATACATGATATTAAAGAATATGCCTTTTGTTGATAAATAAATATTTATTACAGAGTCAATTTTAAAATAATTGATTGGCTCTAGGGCACCTACTCCAACAGGATATTCACGGCGCTTCCATTTTCCAGCAACATTCTATGGACTTTGCACGGGCCTATTTCAAGCGCGATGACGAGTGCATCCCCATGGGGATGATGCAATCGCACCACGTCTTTCTCAGAGAAGGTGATCTCCTCTTCCCGGCGAATCTTAGCAGGTCGCAACGTTGTGCTCATTACACTCACAGGGTCATGACAGGCTTCCCAAGCATACCTCTCCTGGGCACCTTGAGAATTCCCCGCGAGGTGCGGTCCTCCAAAGATGATCCCTACACAGTAGAGACCACAGCGCTTCTTCCCTTGTTCCACTTGATCCTTTTCCCGAACGGGAGTTAGACCATCAACATACTCTTTGAAATGCCCCTACTTGATGAGGTCTTCAATTGCTTACTTGAGAGTCCGACACTCATCGGTATGATGCCCATTATCCCGATGATAGCAGTAGTATTTTTTGTTGGCCTGCTCTGACTTATCCAGAATGGCCGACACTGAGGCATTCAGATGAGCATTAATTTTTGTCGCGATCGCAACGAGGAACTAGGGCATAAGATTTCTTGGGCTCAAACTGTTGTCTCTTTCCTTTCCGCTGATCGTCATTAGCCCCTGTGCAATCAGTCATTCTACTATTCTCCCTCTGGTTGGGAGCACTGCTCGAGGGACTGGGGTCGTGGCGATTGAGAGTGGCCACGAAATTTTCAATTCGGAGTATTTCTCGGTGAGGTTGTAGAAGCAAATGAGGGAAACATCATCCTCGGATTGCAGTTCCTTCTACAAATCTGTCTATGGGCGAACCCCCACAATAATGAGAGTCCGAACAGACTCCTCGGGAGCATGAGCCACTTTATGGAGTTCCTTGTGGAACCTGTCTATGTAAGATTGGAGGGATTCATCCTTCTCTTGCCATATAATGCTCAGGTAGCTCAACGGCATTGAGAACTTCCTATTCGCCTGGAAGTGTCTCAGGAACGATGAGCTCATTTGATGCCATGAGCTGATTGATCTTGCGGGAAGCAACCTGAACTAGCGCTTGGCATAGGCAGTTAGGGTTACTGCTAAGTAACGACATTTGGCCAAGTCGAAGACTTTGTGGAGTTTCATGAGGTCGTTGAACTCATAAAGGTGATCCTGCGGATCTGAATTCCTATCGAATACCCGCATGTCGGGCATTCTGAATCTCAATGGGAGAGTAGCAGCTAAAACTGTTGGAGAATAGGGAGACGCCTCTATGACCTTCCCACGCTCATTCTGCTAAGTCTTAAGCTTATCCAAAGCTCATTGTAGTTCCTCAACCTGAGGTAGCAAAGCTGCCTAGGGATCGCTTTCCACAACGTGGGTTCAACCCTCACGATTGTGGTTGAACAAAAGCTGCAAATCAAGCTCTTCCTCAACTCGACCGGAAGCTCTGGCAAACCTTGACACACGCTGGCTGGAGCCGTGTGAAGGCATTGAATGACTCGGAGAGTTTTCCTAATCTCCGTAGTGGTCCGAACCAACCCGTGGATGATGGGGATTTCCCACATGACGACGGTCGAGGTTGTCATTTCGACGATATTGGAAATCTATCTGCCTTGCACTTTTGTGGGAGTGCCCATGCGACGTGGCGTGGGACGGCTCAGGCTGCGACATGTCGTCGAGTCGCAATGCGACATGTATTCTCCCCATTGCATGACCGGTGTTCGCTGGTCCCTCAGAGCCCTTCGGTCCGCTGCTCGCCACTTGTTTTCCCCTACTTTTGCGTACTGCAGTGCGCGCGGTATGGGCTTTTTCCCTTTTCCGCGCTTTCGCGCGACCTGTAGACGTTTTAGGCTATGGCACCGCTTCATTGGATTCTGGTGGCACGACCCAATCCAAACAATCCAGCCTTTGGCTGACCGTTTGGAGAGTATTATTGAACCTCTCCAGGTAACTCATTACGATTGGGTTGAGCCGTGAGCTTGAAGGAATATCCACCATGATACTCTATTGGACTGGCGGCACTTCGGGAGAAATGTCATCCTATACCTAGGGGATTTCCTCATTGTTAAAGTCGGTTAACTCAGTTTCGAAACCGGGAGCCATTTGCTGATGGGTAGGACCGATTAGTCAAAGGTTTCTGATGAAAAGCAGATACTAAATCAATCTCTCCTTCTAGCGCCAAACTGTTGATGCTTGATTTTGACACCAACGACTCGCACATGCAAAGTGCTAAGCGGGCTTAGCAATTACACATGATACGGAAATGTGTAGCAAGAGAGTGAACAAAAGACGATTTTTAAAGTAGCTCGGATGCTCAAAAGCGAATCCTACGTCCATTGTTGTTGTATTAATAGATGAATACAGTCAGGTCGCGTGTAGCGAGCTGAGTTACAATCTAGAGAGAATACACAGAGAGAGAGAGAGAGAGAGAGAGAGAGAGAGTATGCTGTTTCAGACTAAGATAAGCCAATCCCGTAGATAAGAGAAGAGTCATCTATTTATAGTGGAAGAATTCAAGGTAATGATTACAAGTCTGCAAGTGGATAGGTGTCGTGCAAGTCCTCCCTTGCATCTCATTAGTTATCTGCACGAGAAATATCTTCAAATTGTGTAGGGCTTGGGCAGGTGGACGATCTCTAGCCACTCGCAAGCCTGACATTCACTTGCTGCACTAACAAAAACCATACCTCTTCTGTCATTGCGCGATGTGGCAACGTCTGGACGATAGAAAGCCTCCCTGAATTCTGATTGGCTCTTACTGACGAGAGTCCACGTCAGCCTTGACTTTTTAGGCATAACAATAACCCTCTTTTTTATCTGTCTCTACGCATAGTAAGGTCTTCGCATGGATGTCGACATTAATTAATAATGGGATATTCGTATTCCTGAACCAACATTTAATCCTGTTAATAGAGAACAAGAACAAGGAATAAGGACATATAACAACCTAAGCATATGTCGGTTGCATGTTTTAAACGTGGATACATTTTGAAGCACTTTTCAGATTTTGGAAGAAAAGTAAAAGCATTTTGAATGTTATATCAGAAGAGGGAGTCGAGGAAAAATACTGTTAGGGTTTAGGGTATTAAAAGGGACAACAACCTCCAACGAACACAAAACAAAAAGGTTTTGGTTTATTGTATTGAAAATTAAATTTTATTAATTTTGGATTTGTTATTTATATATATGGTTATACCTTTTCCTTTTATAATTGGCTTTGCTTCTTTACTAACCGCACCTATTATTTCGTCAACCATATTACTTTTGTTCGGATACATCCTCATTCCTCAATACAAATGGACCTCTGTTTGGATCCAAGTCTCATGGACCAAGTCCAGTCCTCGAATGTGAGGAGGCCTCAATCAACTTTGGAAATCAATTTTTTTTTTTTTTTAAGAAAAACAGACTGACCCAACAGTGAACTTGTTACATCATTCATTATCAATCTTCGTCTTCTTGTTTGCGAATTGAACAAAGCCATGTGGAGTCTGGAAAATTACAGTACAGCTACAGTTATTGCAAGAGCAATAATAGTGGTGTGTGAAGAGGGAACATTGCAATGCCATTAATGAAGTAGCACGGTAAAGTCAAACAGGAATTAGCTAGTACTTGATGCTATCGTTGCTGCTTTTGCTTCTGTCAGAGGGAACTAGCTAACTGTCTTCTCTATCTCTCCTCATCCCCCAAACTTTCAAACAAACTTCAGACAAGTAACTTATTTTTACTATTCTGCATACATGGGGATAACAGGGCTATGCATTGCTTCCATTAATTCCATCCCTGAATAATCAATGTAACCTTCAGATTTGTTGGTGAAAGATGCATGGAACATAGCTAACACAACAAAAATATTTAAAATATAACTTGTAGAATAACTTTCTTCAACTGCAGAAGGAAAGATATCCACACTACTTGATTAACATGAGAAATAAAGATGTCCATTTGTTGAAGGTTTACTAGTTTTCTTTAGGCTCCATTTTCTGTTAGTTTAATGCACTAGTTGAGTGTAAACTTTATCATCATAATCAGTTAAAAATAGACTCTTTGATTTACAATCGATATATACAAATTATAACTCAAAACTCATATAGATATATCATGATTTTTGATAATTATTATTGAACCGAAGCAAATTTATTTGTTCCCCATAATAAGAAAGAAGTGATATTTTCTGGTTTCAATGATGAAAATATAAGCTATAATACCTTCATTCATTAATAAATTAATAGGATGAAATGGAAATCATCAATTTCTGTCCCTTAATTTTTCTGAAATCAACAAAAAATGTTCTGCTTCCATATTCAGTGATAACAATGACAGGCAGTATACTATACATATAGGAAGAGAATTAACACTTCATCTGGAAATAATAAATTTCAACTCCTGCTCTTGACCCCATAATTAAGCTGCCCATGAACATCCTTACTGCTGGAATAATTGAAACAAGACATATCCCTTTTCTTTCTTCCAAGAAATTCCCCAGAAAACTTTAAAATTCTAGTTCTTCTTTGCAATTGATTAATGCTAATAATGGATATATATCACTCATAAGGCTCAAGCCAACAAAATATCTGCTTATAGGGTTTGAGTGAAATAATCACTTAATTAATTTGTTCATAACGACACTTATTCTAAGATTAAGACTCTAGTTTTCATTCATACGATAAGCATAAATTTTGGAAAATGAAACAATTACCTTGGGACAGATTCAATGGTGAGAATTGGGAGAAGAAGAGGTTGGCCTTTCACTGTGCTCCTCTTCACCATGAATTCTAGCAGGAATGCTAAACCCTTGCAATCCATCAGACACAAAGCGACTGCCAAAAATTGAAGACTGGTGAATTTCATGTGTTCTTTGGTGGTCTGTGGAGCCAATAGGAAGATCATCCCAAGCCCGAACTGATTGCGTGAAACTGGACTGAAGGGGTCCCCTCTGAGAAAATGCTAATGCTGCTTGTTGTGACAACGACGGTGAGTTAAACATAAAACTACCACCTCTATTTTCTGAGCTTGTGTCATTGTTCCAAGCTACCATTCGATGAAAGTTGGCGTCGAACCCCACAGAAGCTGAGCCTGCGAAGAGGGTTTGATCAGTTGAAGGTGTGTGACTTCTATCTCCCCTTGACTGACCATGAATTAGACCAGAGTCTTGAAAGGAATGAAGTGATAGGCCAAGATCTTCAGTGTGGTTTGTAGTTCTTGAGATTATATCAGCTGGGTAGTTCTGAAAGTTGATTGATGAGTTTGTAGTGCTTGTTGGGAAGAAAGATTTTATGGTATCAGCTATAGAATCAGTGTCTAAAGGCTGCGCGATGAAAGATGAATCATTGTTTGTGTTATCACCCAATTGCCTATGGATCTGAAAGCTATAGCCAGGTGACTCTGATTGATCTTGTATTGGTATTTCACCACTTGAGCCTAGATTAGGCTCAGCTACCATAGCATCGGCAGCAGTATTACTAACATTTGGGTGCCATGGCGGTAGCTCAGCAAGCTTGTCAATGGCAGACTTTGCCTTCTTTATAAGCCAATCTACAGCTTTGCTGGGTCGGTCATAGCCTAGCCGGTCTTGAACATCATAGAATTGAATGGCAGTGTGGGCTGATAACCGGACCCTCCGATCTCTGGGACCTTTTGAGGTATAGACCTTGCTATGGCGGTCCTTTCGCCCGGTGGATCGAACAATGTGACCTCCTTGGACTTGAACTATTTCTCCGTCAGTGCCCTTCATGCCCATTCTTTCTTTATATTTTGAAGTACTGGTTTGTTTCAAAGACTGTCTGTTGGCTGCTACTTCTTGCCCTTGCCCATATGGTGGTTGGTTTTCTTGAGGTTGAAGATGTTGCAAATGGGGAGTGCTCGTGCCTGGATTTTGTTGCTGTGTTTCTTGTGGTATTAGGTGTCTAATTTGGTGGACAGGCCTCTGAGGGGGCTGATGATTACCCTGGAAATCCAGATTCCTAGACGTTCAGATTTTGCTCTTCAAAAAGACTTTTTTTTTTTTTTTTTTTTTTTACAGTTTTCTTGTAGAGCTCAAAATCTTTGCCTGGCCTTTCACTCGAGCTGCTGTTTTTGCTTGCTACTCTTCATCCATCTGCAACTGCTACCACCCTGAAGCTGATACTTCTCTTAAGGCCGCTGATCCTAAAAAAAAAAAAAAAATCTGACATTGTATTTCTGCAGATTGCATACCCCAACACTACCACTAAATCCAAAACCCAGAATGAAAATACAAACAAAATATATCAGATATCAAATCCAGTTTCTTATAAACCCAAAGTTTGTAACGAACTCATCTATCTCTATTTTAGCAGAGCAAAATGAAGCAGGCAAGATGGTGGGTTTCTCTATGTAGGCTGCAAAAACAAAACTACGAATTACACCACTAACTTTTTGGGTGATATCCAATTAAAAAACGAAAACCAAAAATTATATTAAAATCAAAAACCATAGGATTTTGGGACCCTGGATCAGTAAGTAGGGGAGTTTGCCGTTGATATGAAGTGAGATTGAATATGATTTAAGAAGACGAAGAGAAGAAGTGACGGAAAAGGATTGGTGCCATAGAGGTAAGTAGGGAAAAAAAAATTACCCTTATGAGAAGTACTACTGGTTGATGCTTCTGCAAAGGGTGGCAGGCAGGAGAGATTAAAGATATTTTGACATCCCACTCTCAAGTCTCAACTCCACAACATAAAACATAAAAATATGTAAAGAATTTAACAAGAAGTCTCAAATTAACCGAACCCTATCTAGAATCTAGTACTCTCTCTCTCTCTTTGGTTATTATGACTTTATTTTAAGACTTGTTAATGAAGATCGTTGGTGATGGAGTTATAATTGGAGTGATGGATGGTCGATAAGGAAATGACCAAAATGGCCAACTCTCTCACCCACTCCTTTGAAGGCTTTGATTATGATATCCAACAGCTTTTCTGGTTTCTTTCCTCTCTGTACTGTTTTTTTTTTTTTTTTCCTTCTAGTTCCACATCCAATATTAATATATGTTATGTTATGTATGTATGGTTTCATCAAAAAGAAACGACAAAATATAATTTCCTTTTCCTCCCGCGCATGCAATTCTCTGAGTCTGAGTGTACTCTCAGTCTCAGAATCATTCTTACCATAATTTGGAAAAACAATAAGCTTAAACTTAAAAAATTAATGCAATCCCTAATCCTGATAGGAACTTAGTTACATTAGAGAGAGATAAAAAATCCCATTTATATGAATTCTATGCAGAGATGAATACATGCAGTTGGATTCATGTTAGGTATAATAAGTAGCACAAGTTATAAGTGAATAACCCATTTTCTTATTATTTGTTTAAGTTGAGTGCTCTCAATAACTTGGCCAGTCATGTCAGAAGTTTATATTATCATGCTTATAATTAAACATTAAACTAAACCTTAAATATAAACAACTAGTTTCAAGTTAAGTCATGTATAAAATCAATCAAGCATATTTTAAAGTTGTTATCACATGTTTAGTTTATGTAATAAAAATTGAATGGAAGATATATGTGTGTGAAGCAATAGTATTTAGTATTAGAGCGAGGCAGGGTTAGGACTTAGGTTGAAGGGATAATTTGCCTCTAAAACAGCAGCAGAAGCAGCAGCAGCAGCAGGTGTTGATGACTTGATGTTTTGGTTACAACAAGTTAAGGGATATGAACATTAAGGAAAGGAGGGGGTTTCGAGGAATGTGAGATTTAAAAGTGGCCACGATTCCTCGTTGCAAGGACTCTTTTCTTTTCTCTCTCATTACAAGAAAGAAAGGGCCTAGCGCCCTAGCTGCTGTCGTTTTCATCGACTTCCTTTATTAAATGCTTGGATCATCATCAACCGCCCATCTCATTCTCTTCCGACACCTGTTTTTTTTTATTTCTCTAAACTTAATTAACAGCTCGGGTCATTCTAGTAAAATTGTTATCCCATTTTTCTAATTTAATTTTTTATAAATAAAAGGCGGTGCAGCGGCAAAATAAATCATCAGAAGAAAATTAACTACATAAATAGAGGCACTTGTATTGTATGATACTCACTGCTACCTAATTGAGAGTGATTTGATTTGATACCATAAACTTTCCATTCAAGCATTTACCACCATATTTCATTTTGTCACATCACCTGCCCTTTTTTCTTCTTCTTTTCCGTGGATATTTTATTCGTCTCCATTAAAGGTATGCATTATGCAAAGTATTTTAGGGTTTTCCACTCTTTTCCCACTATTTATTATTTAATTATAGTGACCCAAAATTGGGCAATGCTGCCCCCTGTGACTTAGCAAACCCCATAAATGGTTAGTCTATAAAAAAATATAAAGGCTACGTACCCTATTATGAAACCTAAATTATTATATAAACACCTTTCACATTTTTAACTTTCCAAAGATTGCTATACATATATTAACGGTCTATTTGGATATCACCCATTTCATATATATATATATTGAGAGAGAGAGAGAGAGAGAGAGATAATATAATTAGGTATAAACCTTTACTTTAGGCAAAGAGACAGGCAATTAGAGTTTTGAATTATCGCTCTTCGATGGTGTACAACTTTAGTTGATAAATTGTTAATGCATGCTGTTACAATCAGAGGGTGGAGTTAAAGACTGGTTCAATTATAGATATATTTCCATGGCAATTATGAGGATGATAATAATTTCGTGTTATCTAATTTTGACAATATATATACATATTAATTGACCATTTAATATTGAACACATAGCATGGTACAGCTAAATTAGATTAGGATCTGATATTACATTTAATATTTTCAGCTACATTAAATTCTAAAGAGGAACACGTCTGAGCTAGAAGGTAACTTAAAATTAGATTTAATTTGTTTATAAAAACTTGTATTTTGGACTTTTGGTGGCTTCTCTTCATCAGCTTTTGAATGTGATCGTACACAACACAACACCTAGCATGCGCACAGTACAGAGTCAATTTCCAAACCTTGCCATGATAGTGATGGTATATGACTTCAAGATTTAAGAGGCTAACTTATATATATAACCCTTGACTGCTGAACTTTAAAGCATTCTAAGATTCATACAACTTTATCATGGAGATAGCTTTGAATTTCATGTAAAACTGTAAATGTCGATATCTATCAAATATTTAATTATCATTGCATCAGATTCTCTAGCTAGACTGGAGTTACACAGAACATCTGTCTTGAAGTTTTGATAACTTTTATCATCGATACATACTCTTTTTTGGGCGAATAAATGAACTTATTCTTTGCTTTCACAAAAAAATGGCAAACAGGTAATAAGTATATGATGAAGTTGCATAATTTATGTGACTGAGGGAAGTGGTGTACATGTTTCACTGTTTTTGGGTTGGGTTTTTTAATGGACAGAAAATTGAAAGGTAACCAAGCATGCGATAGAAAGGAAAAGAGAGGTGGAGCATGTATAGATTTGTTGCAGTCCTAGAAAAGGACAATGACAGGGGGACCCTGATCTTCTTTCAATCTGTGTAAAACGTGAAAACCACCAATCAAGCTCGTGATCCAAGAATTATGACTTTAATGTCCCACTGATCTTATTCTGTATTATTTCTCTTTCTGTGTATGTTTTTTAGGTGAGAACGAGAAGAGGTCGAAGGAGAGACAGTAGGTAGCAGTATGAGAGAAGATAGAGAGATTGTTTTCAGCAATTTATGAAGCGAGAGAGAGAGAGAGAGAGACATGAGCAAACTGCCAAGTTGTTATTTTGTTGTTTGTTTTTTTACGATCGTCCTGTTTATCACGGCATGTGGCTTTCACATTTTTCAATCTCTCACACATTCTACTTCAAGCATGCATCTAGCTACCCTACACATGTTACATATATATATTGCAAAGTATTAACTTTAGGGCAACCACAAGCACATCATGTCATGCATACACCAAAAGCCGTGCTTGCTACCTATCTCTTTCTCTCTACTCAAAGGTACCAACCTAAAGTTTCAACATAATCACATCATATTCTAGTTCTAGGTTATGAAGGAAAGCATGAAAATCTGAAAGTTTAACGACAACTTTCAGAGTAAACCCTAGTGTAATGAGAAAATTAAAAAAAAAAAAAAAAAAAAAATTCAGCAGATTCCATGCAACAAAGTTCTCCAAAATTAATTAATACTGATTTCTGTCGTACCTGAAAGAGAGCGGCGGAGTTGTATCCAAGAAGGTAAAATTTGTTTTTCTCCTTGACGGTCTTGGTGAAAACCAAGTTGCATAAGCAAAAGATGAGTAATTATCAAGAATTAATAATATTAATTGGGAAAGCAGTTGCTGTCACAATCAACATTATATACAAAAGAGTAGTCTTTTGTATATTTAACATTAATTGATTGCGCATGCATGCAGAGCCAATCAAATGGCGGGCGTCCCACTTGTAAAAACGACAGCACCTAGCTAGCTCATTCACTGTATACACTATGCAGTGCTGTATATATACACAAGAATAATACTACACTTACAAAGTCCTCATACAAGAATGTGTATACAAAATGATGTGTCATACTGGGAGAGTGAATTTATAAAATCAACTTTTTAACTAAAGTCAAATTCAGTGTCTAATCATTGTATGACACATCACTTTGTATATGTATCTTTGTATGGAGACTTTGTAAATGTAATATTACTCATATACACAAACCACCTTCAAGAGGGACAGAGATGAGGACAACGAAGCTGTGGTTTTTAATGAACATCTAATCAGATCTCTTTAATTTCATTGACATGGCTACACAGCTTCATCATCAGTTAACCACTTTTCTCTACACATTACACCCAAGTCTTGTTGCTATCATTCATTCACAACGACTTTTATTATACCAATATATATATATATATATATATACTGTAAAATTCGAGAAAGATTTACAGTTTTTAATATAAGAATGTTAATTAACTCAACAGAACATCAAATTCTGGCGACACAAATCAAGCATTAATTTTCAAAGTGGGAATTCGACCTTAAATGGATAAGTTTTAGAAGCAACAAAGGATGAGTGGTTATAAATCTATTATTTTCACATAAATAAAGATTTATAAATCTTTTCAAATAAAATCAAAATTTGTATTAATTTATCATGTTACGACGGGGCATGGAATTCGATATATAAACATAACGCAATTTGGAGAGTTGAATAACATAAGCATATATAGATGGGTGCAAAAAGTTTGGATGGATGATTCCAATAATTATACCAATGGTAGGTCCAGTACTATCTTTACTGGTGATAATGACTAGGCAAGTGGAGAAGAGAGAGTTGTCAAATATGATTCAGTACTGTCATCAACCATGGAAGTTGCTTTGAGTTTTTTTTTCTCCTTTATTTTGCTTTACAACATTCCTTCCTCTTTTCAAAGGTAAGACTCTAAAAGAATCATGCAATGCTCCTTAACTTATAACTTTTACCAAACCCAAAGCCATTTAATTAAATGGTAACCATGCACTTATGATTTTCAAGATTTTGAAAGGAAATTAGATTAAATCTTTTCTAATTGCTCAAACGAATTGATTTTGGTGAGGATGGGATGGAGCAAAATGGGCATATTGCATAGACGCAAAACATTTTTTTTGTTTTTTTAGTGTAAATGTATAGATGAAATCCGGTGAGGATGAGGTCACTGCTTAGCAAATCATCTTTAGCTGATTTCCCAAATCCAATTGTGATGGTGAAA